CGCGCGGCCCGGAGGGGCCCCCCCCCCCCCGGCAGATGGAGGAGGAGCTCAAGAAGGCGAGCGTGGCCGACGAGGCGCTCGTCAAGCTCCTCATCCTCGGCGCCGGCGAGTCCGGCAAGAGCACGCTCTTCAAGCAGATGAAGCTCATGCGCGGCTCCGGCGCGGCCGCGGCCGCCGGGGCCGCGGCGCGCGCGCGCGGCGGGGGGGGCGGGGCCGCGCGCGCCCCGCCGGCGCCCGCGCGCCGAGGCCGGCCGACCGCAGGCACGGCACGCCCTTCACGCGCGAGGAGCAGCACTACATGCGCGGCGGCGGCGCCGCGGCGCCGCGCGGTCGGCCGCGGCGCGACGCGGCGCGCGCGCGCAGGCGCGACGTCATCTACGAGAACACGCTCGTCGCCATGCAGACGCTCGCGGCGAACCTGCCGAACTTCGACATCGACATCGAGGTCGTGGACAAGGCGGCCCTCGCGACGGTCCTGGAGGCCGACGAGGACGCGACGCTCGGCGGCGAGCTCGGCGAGCGCGTCCGCCGCCGTCCGGCCGCGGCCGCGCCCCGCGACGCGCGCTTACCCGCGCAGCTGCGTCGAGCGCCTCTGGCGCGAGGAGGCGATCCAGGCCATGCGCGCGCGCCGCGCCCCCCGGCCGGTCCCCCCGGGACGCCGCGCCGCGGCAGGTGGAAGCTGCGGGGCCACGTCCAGATCGTCGAGTCCGTCGTCTACTTCTTCGAGAAGATCGCCGAGCTCAAGCGGGGCGACTACGTCGCGACGGTCCAGGACATCATGCACGCGCGCGCGCGCCGGCCGCGCCGGGGCGGCCGCCGACCGCGCGCTCGACCGCGCGCGCCCGCGCAGGTCCGCACGCGCGGCCGCCGCGCCGGCCCGCCCCGCGGCGCCTCTGAAAGACACCGCCCGCAGGCACGGCATCGTCACGTCCAAGTACACGATCAAGGGCAAGGACTACGAGATGTACGACGTCGGCGGCCAGCGCAACGAGCGCCGCAAGTGGGTCAACTGCTTCGAGAACGTGCGTGCGCCGGCGTCCCTCGACGCGGGCGTCGGGGACGCGCCCCCGCTTCTAGGTGACGAGCGTGCTCTTCGTCGCGTCGCTCAGCGACTACGACGCGAAGATGTCCGGGCCCGCGCGGAAGTTGCTTCGGACGAGTCGCGCCCCCCTCGTCGAGCGCCCGACGCGCGGCGCCGCGCAGGTTCGAAGACGAGACGACGAACCGCATGAAGGACGCGCTCGACCTCTTCGAGGAGGTCTGCGACAACCGCCACTTCTCGAACGTGTCGACCGGGGCAGGACAAGAGAGCGAAATTCCCAACTTCAAAGCCTCATACCTCGGCCGTTTTCCACTCGTTTCGGCTGATTTTTGGACGAGCGATCATCTCTCGGAACGCTCTCGAAGCGTGGATGCTTTTTCCGGAACGCGCGCGCGCGGAACACTCACGTTGAAGCGACGTTGAATCACCCTTGTGCTGCCCAGGTGTCGACGCTGCTCTTCCTCAACAAGCGCGACCTCTTCGCGGCCAAGGTCGCGGAGGTCCCCATCGGGCGAGTATGGCAACGCCGCGCGCGCCTCCGACGCGCGGCCCCCGCGCAGCGAGGCCAACGGCTTCCCGGACTACGCCGGCAAAGCGAACGACTACGCCGACGGCGTCCGCTACTTCACGGACAAGTTCCTGCGGAAGAACAAGGACCCGGAGCGGACGATCTTCTGCCACGTCACGTGCGCGACGGACACGTCCAACGCGCGTCTCCGCCGCGTCTTCCGGGGGTTCGCGCGCGGGGAGCCGCGCGCGGCCGCAGGTCCGCGCGGTCATGGACATGTGCTACCACGTCATCACCCAGAAGAAGCTGGAATCCATCGGCTTCATGTGATGCGACGGCCCCCGCCCCCCCGAAGACCCCGTGTGAACCCTAAATCCCCATGCCGCCCGTGCACTCGAGCGTGTGGCCCGTGACGTACGTCGCGAGCGGCGAGCAGAGGAGCGCGACGGCGCCCGCGGCCTCGTCCGGCGTGCCCACGCGCCCCAGGGGCACGGTCGCCTTGAGGAGCTTCGGGTCGCGCCAGGCCGCGGCGACGTGGTCCGGCAGGCCCTGGGCCACGTCGACGCCGTCGACGGCGACGGTCTCGGACGCGGCCTGCGTCATCCGCGTGTCGATCATGCCGAACGCGACGGCGTTGCAGCGCACGCCGAAGCCGCCCCACTCCTTGGCCACGGTCTTCGTCAGGCCCGCGACGCCCGCCTTGGCGAAGGCGTAGTTCGCCTGGCCCACATTGCCGTGGAGCCCGGACGTCGACGACACGTTCACGATCGACCGGTCCCGCGGCGAGTCGCCGGCGAGGACCTCCGCCTTGCCCGCGTCGCGCAGGTAGGGCGCCGCGGCGCGGATCAGGCGGAAGGGCGCCTTGGCGTGCACGTCGAGGATCGCGTCCCACTGGTCGTCGGACATGGTGTGCACCATGCCGTCCCAGAGGAAGCCCGCGTTGTTCACGAGGATGTCGACCCGCCCGTGCGCGCCCGCGGCGTCGCCGAGGAGCGCCTCGGCGAAGCCGTCCTCGGCGACGGAGCCGCCGAAGGCCCGGGCGCTGCCGCCGGCGTTCGCGATGTCGTCGACGACCGTCTGCGCCACCGACGCGTCGAGGTCGTTGACGACGACGGCCGCGCCCTGGCCCGCGAAGACCTTGGCGATGGCAGCGCCGATGCCGCGGCCCGCGCCCGTGACGACGGCTACGCGGCCTGCGAGCATTGTTATGTGCAGCGAGGTGCGAGTGCGGCGCGAGCGGAGATAGCTTTCTGCCACTGGCACGCAAGGAGCCGGCTTCAGCGACATTTTGACGCCCGGCGCCGGCGACCTGGCGCGCGCCCCCCCCGCCGGACTAAACACACACCGAAGCCGCCCCTCGGCGAGCCCATGTCGGACCGCGACCACCGCGAGAGAAAAAAGGACAAGAAGAAGGAGAAGAAGAAGAAGCACAAGAAGGAGAAGCTGCACGAGGTCGTGGGGTACTCCAACGACGACAACCCCTTCGGGGACAGCAACCTCGGCGCCAAGTTCACGTGGAAGAAGAAGGAGGACCTCGCGAAGAAGGAGAAGCGGCGGGACCGCGCGGAGGACGCCGCGCGCGACGCGCACTTTGTCGAGGAGATCGAGAAGGTGCGGAAGCGGCGCGCGGAGCGCGAACACGAGCTCGCGGAGATGGAGCGGCTGCGGGACGAGGAGCAGCGCCTGCGGGACGCGGAGCAGTTCGGCGACTGGCAGGCCAAGGAGGAGGCCTTCCACCTCGAGCAGACGCGGATCCGGAGTTTGCTACGCTTAGTCGGCGGCCGGTCGCGGCCCGTCGACGTCGTCGCGAAGAATTTGCTCATGATCGAGCAGGGCGAGAACGAGATGCGCGGCGAGACGGCGGCGCGGGCGCGGCCCGGCGGCGTGACCTACGGGAGTCGGGACCACGCGGACCTGTCCGGCCTCGAGTGCGAGCTCAGGCCCGCGTACGCGACGTTGGACGGGCTCGACGCGCGGGGGCTGGCGGAGCTCGGCGCGGACGCGCGCGAGTACGCGGAGCGCGAGGGCGAGCTCGGCGAGTGGCGGCCCTTCTGGGACGCGCTCCTCGTGCTCGTCGACGCGCGGGCCGGCGGCGACCGGGGGAGAGCGCTCGCGGCCGTCGCCGGCGACGTCGCGGCGCTCCTGCGGGGCAAGGACAAGGCGGCGCTCGGCGACATGGGCGACGACGCCGAGGCGCGCGCGGCCGCGGCGCGGGACGCGGGCGACGACGACGCCTACTGGCGCGGCGTCGCGGCCGCGTGCGCGCGCGAGCGCGCGACGCGCGTGCTCGACGACTTCCACGCCGACCTGCTGCGGCGCCAGCTCAAGGTCTTGGAATTTCGCAAGGCGCGCGCCGCGGCGGACCCGGAGGCCGCGGCGGCGCGCGACGCGGGCCGCAAGCGGCGCCGCGACGACGACGGCGCGGCCGCGCGCGCGCCCGACGACGCCGCGGGCGCGCGGCTCCTCGACAAGGAGGAGGCGCGCGGCGGCGCCGAGGACGAGGACGTCATGGCCGCGTCGTCGGAGGTCGCCGCGGCCATGCCCCGGCCCGACTGGGCGGACCGCTACGAGCCGCGGAAGCCGCGCTACCTGAACCGCATCAAAACGGGCTACGAGTGGAACCTCTACAACCGCGCGCACTACAGCTCCGAGGAGCCGCCGCCGAAGGCCGTCCAGGGCTACAAGTTCAACATCTTCTACCCGGACCTCGTCGACGCGTCCAAGGTGCCCATCTTCAAGCTCGAGCCCTGCGCCGAGGGCGACGAGTTCGTCGTCATCCGCTTCAAGGCGGGCGCGCCCTACGAGGACCTCGCCTTCAAGATCGTCAACCAGGAGTGGGAGTCCCAGCCCAAGCGCGGCTTCCGCTGCGTCTTCGAGCGCGGCATCCTCCAGCTCCACTTCAACTTCAAGCGCTGGCGCTACCGGCGCTAGTAGGGCCGCGTACGGTACTACTCTTGGCGGGACCGATAGCGAGCCTGGCGTTAGCACGCGCAGTTGGCAACTTCCGAGGAAGGCGCCGCGCGCGCGGGCATGGCTCGGAGCGCGACCGCGGCCTCGAGCGCCGCGCGCTCCGGCGGCTCGCCGTCCTCCGGGGCGTCGTCGCAGAGCTCGACGACGACGTTCCGCGGCCGCGGTCGCTCGGCCACCGCGTCCACCGCGTCGTCGCCGCCGTCGCGCGCCCTCGGCGACCCGACGAGCAGCGACGACTCGCTCTTGAGCTTGTGGACCATCTCGAGGCCCTCGTTCATCGCGAACTTGAGCGCCGCGCGCTCGCGGTTGATGTCCTCGTAGACGAGCGCGACGACGATGACGAGGCAGAGCACGTTGATGGACACGAGGAACGCGCCGAGGCCGTGCTCGAAGACGGCGAACGACGCCGCGAGCGTGCCCAGGAACACGAAGACCGACACCCAGTTGATGACCTCCGCGAGCACGTCGTCCGAGTCCTCGACGAAGGGCTCCCAGTGCGCGTAGGCCTTGACGACGAACAGCGCGAGGAAGATGGAGTAGAAGAGCTTGATGCCCTCGTCGCGGAACGCGACCAAGAGCGACGTCGCGGCGACGCGCCTCAACAGCTCGAAGATCTCCCAGTAGTAGAACTGGGGCTCGTAGGGCCCGAAGAGCAGCTGCAGGTGGGCCACGCCCAGCGTCTCCTCGCGGCGCCGCACCGCCGCGGCGACGCGCGCCTCCGCGTCCTCGGGATCCCGGCGCCGCGGCCGCGTGCCGTCCGCGAGCTTCGGGTCGAGCTCGTCGCGGTGGTACGCGAGCTCGCAGATGTAGAGCAGGGGCACGCCCACGGGCCAGATGACGCACGCCAGGCCGGCGAAGATGGCCGTGAGGCGGTAGGCCCGGCCCTCGCACCGCGTGTCGTGGCGGACCCTCAGATAGCGCTTCTTGCCCTCGCCGTCCGGGTCGTCGACGGTCTCGCAATCGTAGGTCCGGAAGATCGTCGTCGTCACCGACGGCAGCACGAGGTACGTGACCAGAATCGTCACCGCCACCAAATTCCGCCGGAACTGGGGCCCGTGGTCGCGGAGCGCCTGCCGCGCCGCCGCGACGGAGCTCCGCCGCCGGCCGCCCGCGTCGGCGCCGTCGTCGCGCGCGCGGGCCTTGGCGCCGCCGTGGACGTAGGCCGCGAAGACGACCAGGAGCACGAGCACGATGGGCCCCAGCACCGTCGACAGCAGCTCCTCGCGGAACGTCCACTCGAAGACGCCGCACGACAGGGGCACGGAGTTGGCGATGTCGAGCGCCAAGAAGTTGAGGCCGTTGATGAGCGTGTCGT